TCTCCCGCGGAGCAGCTGGTAGTTTCGAACCGCTGACCTTAAGGTTCGCAGCCCGATTCGTAACCACTACGCTACCAGAGCTCCTTATATATATATATATATCATATAGGAAGAAAGCAAAAGGTCATTAAGAAGACAAGAAAAAAAAGACCGAAATGGATGTCAGATGAAACTGAAACTTGTTCTCCAGCATAGAATAAGTAAGTGGAAGAAATGAGGAGATAAAAGAGCTGAACAGAAAATTTCAAAGGGCAGCTTGAGAAGACGAAGTCAAATATTATATAGAAATGTGTAAAGATCTGGCATTAGAAAGCCAAAAGCGAAGAACACACATTTCTTAAACTGAAAGAACTGAGGGAAAAAATTCAAGCCTCCACTTGCCATACTGGAGGATTTTTTTGGCAAAATATTGAAAGATGCAGAAAACATCCAAAGAAGATGGAAGGAATACACAGTCACTGTACTAAAAAGAAATGGTCAATGTTCAACCATTTTCCATAGGTAGCATATGATCAAGAGCCAATGGTACTGAAGGAAAAAGTTCAATGTGCACTGAAGGCATTGGAAAAAACAAGGCTCCAGGAATTGATGGAATTCAAATGAAATCTTTCAACAAACTGATGCAGCATTGGAGGCATTCACTCATGTATTCCAACAAATTTGGAACTATCTGGCTAACTGATTGGAAGAGATCCATATTTGTGCCCATTCCAAAGAAAGATTACCCAATGGAATGTGGAAATCATTGGACAATATCATTAATATCACATGTAAGTAAAACTGTGATAAAGATCATTTTAAAACGATTGCAACAGTACATTGACAGGAAGCTGCCAGAGGTATAAACCAAATTCAGATGAGGACATGGAACGAGGGATAGCCTTGCTGACGTAACATGGATCTTAACTGAAAGGAGAGCATACCAGAAAGATGTTTGCTTATACTTTATGACTATGCCAGGGCTTTCGACTGTGTGGATCATTAGAAGCTATGGACAACATTGTGGAAAGTACGTATTCCGGAACGCTTAATTGTGTTCATGAGGAACCTGTACCAAGAGGCAGTTGTTACAACAGAACAAGGGGTCACTGAAAAGTTTAAAATCAGGAAAGGTATGCACCAGGGTTGTATTCTTTTACCATATTTATTCAATCTGTATGCTAAGCAAATAATCTGAGAAGCTGGATTATATGAAGAACGTAGCACCAGGATTGGAGGAAGACTCATTAGCAACCTTCAGTATGCAAATGATGCAATCTTGCTTGCTGAAAGTGACTTAAAATACTTGTTGATGAAGATCAAAGACCAGAACCCTTGGTTTGGGTTGCACTTCATTGTAAACAAAAATGGAAGTAGCAGTTAAGAAATTAAATGATGCACTGTATTAGGCAAATCTGCAGCACAAGACCTCTTTAAAGTGTTCAAAAGGTGTCAATTTGAGGACTAAGGTACACCTGATCCAGGCTATGGTACTATCAATAACTTCATATGCATGTGAAAGTTGGACAATGAATAAGGAAGATCATAGAGGAATTGAACATTTGGCTTATAGTATTGGAGAAGAATATCAAACGTTCCATGGACTACTAGAAGAACAAACAAACCTGTGTTGGAAGAAATACAACCAGGATGCTCCTTAGAAGTCAAGATGGCCAGACTTTGTTTCTTATACTTTGGACATATTGTCAGGAGTGACCAGTACCTGGGGAAGGACACCACATTTGGTAAGGTGGAGGGACAGAGAAAAAGAGGGAGACCCCTAAGGAGATGGATTGGCACAGTGGCATAATAGTGGGCTCAAGCATAGCAGCAATTGTGAGGATGGAGCAGGACCAGGAGGTGTTTCATTCTGCTGAACATCAGGTTGCTATGGGTTGGAACCAACTTAACAACACATACCAATGCAATTAAATCTTATGATAGTAAATACAATTGTCATTTGGCATTTGAACATATTATCTAATTTATTTCATTTAACAGAAAGCAAAGCAAAACCTAAGATAATTAAATCAAACTGATACTACTTAAATGAATAGAACACTACATTTCTCCCTGCTACAGTTCTTCTGTGCATTTTACTCAAGAGATCAATGTGAAGATCAAAATCTAAGAATAAAAGAACTTGCAGACCACTTGAAAAAGAAAAAATAGCAGAAGTCTATATCAAATGAAAGAAACATGCAGTTTAGCTCAGCAAGGCTTCTCCATATCTGAGGACAATGTAGATAAGCAGCTACACATTTTTAAAAAAGAAAATTTTTTGTTGGTCTTTGTGATTCTGACTTAACAAAGCTTATATAAAACAAAATGTTATAATTACTTGTTAATAAGTTAAAAGCCTTTATAAACCCCCTGAAATTTCTCTTAAAACTTTTTTTAATGGATGATTTAATTTCTTCAGTTATTAATTCTTAAACAAGAGTGCTA